CTTTTGGTACTCCTCAGTGGGATCGGAGGATAGTGGCCTGTAGAATGTGGTGTTGGAGAATTGCCTGGCAGTCTCCTGTTCATAATCTGACCTGTTCATTATGACTACAGCACCTCTTTTGTCAGCCCCTTTGATAATAATGTCAGAGTTCAGAGGGGTAGCTGTGTTAGTCTGGATCTGTAAAAAGCAACAGAGTCCTGTGGCACCTTTAAGACTAACAGATGTATTGGAGCATAAGCTTTCGTGGGTGAATACCCACTTTGTCAGACGCATGCCTGACAGAGTTGTTTCTGAGGCTGTGGATGGCGTTGCATTCTGTACGGCTGAGGTTATGGGGCAAGTGATGCTGTTTGTTCACAATTTCAGCCTGTGCACGTCTTCGGAAGCACTCTATGTAGAAGTTCAGTCTGTCATTTCGACCGTCAGGAGGCGTTCACACAGAATTCTTCTTCTTGTAGTGTTGGTAGGAGGGTTCCTGAGGTCAGTGCACTGTTCAGTGGTGTGTTGAAAATATTCCTTGAGTCGGAGACGGCGAAAGTAGGCTTCCAGATCACTGCAGAACTGTATCATTTTCGTGGGGTGGTGGGGCAGAAAGAGTCCCCGACATAGGACAGACTCTTCCGACAGGCTAAGTGTGTGGTTAGATAGATTAACAATATTGTTGGGTGAGTTAAGGGTACCACTGTTGTACCCCCTGTGGCATGAAGGAGTTTAGATCGTTTACTGTCCTTTTTCCTCTGTAGAGAAGTAAAGTGTGCATTGTAAATGGCTTGTCTTGTTTTTGTAAAGTCCAGCCACGTGGAAGTTTGTGTGGAATGCTGGTTTTGTATGAGAGTCTCCAGTTTTGAGAGCTCATTCTTGTTAAAGGTGATGTGTCCAATGAACACAGAAGAAATACTCTATATGCAAATATTTGTTCTTATTTTATCTATTAATCTTTGTACCTGAGAGCCTTTTCCTGCCTCTTTAGGGCTTCGATTAACACAACTACATAACATCTTTACATTTAAAATATTTCTATTTTTAAATGCTAAATGTATGTTTCTTGGAGGAACAAGTTAGTATCTTCATACATCCACAAAGCAAATATTCTTTACATATATTATAGTTGCATTCATGGCTCCAATCAAGATCAGAGCCTCTCTGGGCTGGTTTTCTTGAAGTTTTGTTTCTGTGACTTCAGTTGCAATATATTCCCAGATGGTGACAGAAACTAACCTAAGCAGAAGGAAATTAAAGAAATACTGGCTGTAAGTCCATTTTAGCATGATAGAGTGCTCATCACCTGAGAAATTCCTGAGATGCAAAGTATCTTTCAGATTCAAATTACCAACCTACTCAAGAATCTGAAAATTGGGGATGTGTTAGCATCACAACATAATCTCAGCTGTTCAAAGGACATTAAAATGTCATACTGTGGTTTGTCTTGCACTTCCCTGACAAATTTTATTTTCAAGCAGAATATTAATTTGAGGTTTGACATAAATGGCTCATCTTCTTGAAAATGAACATGCTTTAAAATATAGTCATAGGGAATTTTACAGAATGGTTGTTATGAGTGTAAAAAAATATAGCAGCTTTGAAATACTTTTGCATTGTGCTTGAAATTCCACCCAGTGCAGAGAGCTTATTGCAGGCTCTCCACACCACTTAAGCCTCAGATTAAGAAC